GCTTGTGCTTGTCTTGATAAACCTCTTCTTTTGAGGACTTCTACTACTGTTTAAAATTCACTTCTTTATTTACAAGGTACAACTTTGCATTTTAAATGCACATAGAAAATTTGCCCCCCAAATGCTTTTTGTCGAAAATTAAAATACACGTGTAATCTTGTCACACTGGCAAGAGGGATTTTCTACGTGTATGTGCACACACGTGTGTATAGGCACAAGCAGGTGCATGCACACAAACACAGGCACATTCACACCTCTACTGCAGAGTTTCTGGAAAAGGACTGTTCCCCTGCGTGTCCTTAAAGGGAGAACAGAAACAAGGGGACACAGCCACAGTGTCACACAGCCACGCTGCACTCCTCTGCTCCAACCTCAAAGACAACCAGCACCGAGAGCAAAGTCTCATCTTCGCACGGGTCCTGTCTGGTTTCTCCCCTCGTCTGTGGGCACTGGTGGGGCACAAGGCTGGGGCCACCCCTGTCCTCGCACTGCTCTGGTGACAGTGCTGTCGGTCACAGAGGGGGAGGATGGTGTCTTCAGAGCCTGGGACGCGGTGAGGAGATTTTAAAAGGGCGCTCGAGACAGCATCAGGACTTACTGATACTGTTCTGCTGAGTTACTAACATCGCAACCCCGTCCAGACCGGGGCTTGTTTCATTATCTCGTCTTCCCACCTCAAGTGAATTTGCTGAGCAATTTTAAGAAACAGAGAAAAAGGCTATGACCAATTTTCAGGCCGCCTGATTTAGCCATTAAAAAAAGTAAGAAAAAAACCCTACAATGTTTCCCTCTTGTTTTTCTAAATAAAAATAATGTATAGCCCTAACTTGATCATAAATATGCTCAAAAGCTGTCCTTAAGTAAAAGCTTTTGATAACAAATTGCCTGTGCTAACTGCTATTTTACTGTTGAATTTTTTATTGTTGCTTAAGCACTGCAATTATGCTAATAAGCCTGAGAGGATGGTACACTAAAGCATTGAATGTGACAGATATAATACTCAATAAAATGTTAATCTTACCTGAAAATTGGAATCAAACAGCCTTATTAGTATTTATGGATATGGCATCTCCAACATGTTTCTTAAGAGGAATATATATATGCAAAAGATATTTCCAAATATACCCTGCTATTTCTCATACCTCCATACGATTTAATTCAAGGTGGCTATTACCCCTGCTGCTAATTGCCAGTCCCTTTTGGAATAAGAAAAAAGACTGTCGGTGTCTGGGGCATGAAAAACCCTGATGCGTACTGTAGGGCTTATTTTTTCCCTTTGGCAGCTGCCCATGGGGACGGGGACACCGCTCCCCAACTGATGGCAGGGACACGGGGCTCAGGAGGGTGCAGGAGCACACAGCAAAGGCACCGCTCTCTTTTTGCCACGCTCCATCATCTATTTTCCCCTTTATCTCTAACTTGACGTGCGAGGCAGGCAAATCCAGCAAAGGGTTAGGTTATTTACAGGTGCTGGAGAAACAGCTTTTGGATTTTAAGATGGGACTAAACATGGATTTATTTATTTTATTTTTAAACTTCTCAGCTGATGCTGACGAGAAACCAGACCCATCTGTTTCGCTGCGAGTTACGGCGTTGCAGAGCTGGACGCCGAGCCGCTGGGCTGTCGCAGGGGATTTGTCACCGAGGTGCCACATGACTTCCCACAAGTCGCATTGCATTTTGCACCGTTATTTCACCACCCAGTCCAAGTCTGATTTCTCAATTGATGGCATAATTTTTTCAGGGAACAAGCTGCCTTTTACCACATGTAGCCTTTTTTTTTTTTTTTGGTGAAACCTATGGGTCTCAGACCCAACCTTGGGGCTCCACTACCCTGCACTTTCACAGAATCATAGAATCATATGGGGTTGGAAGGGACATCTGGAGATCATCTAGTCCAACCCCACTGCCGGAGCGGGTCTACCTACAGCACGTTGCACAGGAGCTTGTCCAGGCGTGTGTTGAATGTCTCCAGAGAAGGAGGCTCCACCACCCCCCTGGGCAGCCTGTTCCAGTGCTCTACCACTCTCACATTAAATAACTTCCTCCTTATGTTTAGGTGGAACTTCTTATACTCAAATTTGTGCCCATTTCCTCTTGTCCTGTCACTGGGCACCACCGAGAAAAGACCAGCACCACTGAGAAAAGACCAGCTTTTCCTGTGGGTAAAGCAAGGGGCTTTCAACAGCTTCACCTCATAATATCATAACCTCAGAAGAGCCATGTGTTTCTGACAAACTATAGTTACATCCATGCCCAGGGGTCTATAGAGAGACTATTTCTACACAACGGACTGGTGTGGGTTTCAAACACTGCAGGTTAATGCTTAAATAGCAGCTGCTGGCTTCCTACTTCAGTCCTCATGCTGCTCTCACCCACAGAAGTCAATTCTGCTGTCAGGACTGCAGAAACATCCATAATCAGCATTATACCTTCTGACAGACAAGCAAGATTCTCACCGCTGGACGCTGCAAACCTCCTTGTTGGCAAGCGTCAGGTGGGAGACATCTAGGAACTGTTTCGATGAATAGTCACAGCGGGGAAAACCCAACCAGCTGCCCACCAGAGTCTGGGATTCCCAAAGTGCTCAAAGATCGCAACGAGAACCTCCAGGGCACAGCTCACAACACACCGGGACACGCTGGGACCTTCTCAACTACGCAACGCACGCTGGCTTGCACTCCGACTGCATGGATGGAGCACATGGATGGAAACGGGACACTTTGCTGGAGACAGCTTAGAGCAGCTCCACAAAACCTTGCCTGCAGGTGTAAGCAAGGAGCACAGCATTAGGAAAAAAAAAAAATAATTCAGTTGCAAAATCAAAGAAAAGTACTAGTTTACTGAGCTTGCACCTCGGAGAGCCGGGAGATGTGCCCAGGGCTCCTCTGCCCCAAGTTAACCCCAGCACGGAATGCCAGACACCAAATTTTCTTGTGCAGCCAGCAAGTTAACCAGGCACATAGCTGTGATGTGCTGCGGGACCATAAGGCAACCACTCCCATCAAGGTGGCAGGACTCGCCTCTGCCATGTTAAGTGAGTCTTGTCATTATTTTCAACCCTGCAGGGAAATCTAAATTGAACTTTGGCATATAGGCTTCTTTTGCTAAGCAGCAACACTTGAATGTTAACTCTGGTCCTGACAGGCATATTTATGGAGTATTCTTTGCAAATAATCTTACCCTGACCAGTCCGAAAGGTCAGAATCATAAAAAATAATAATAACAACAATAAAAAAAGCACAAGGCTGGAAAACCATCACTGCCATTGGCACAACCTCTCAACTTATTAACTGTCCTTGCAACAAGGTGAACTGCAAGGTCTCGGATTTATTTGATTGATTGAGATCAAAAGATGAGGGGGCACACAGTAAATTGTATCTTTCCATGAACGCATTTTGCTTTCAAGATTTGAGCAGATAGTTGCAGGAACTGAAAAGCTCAAGAGGAAGAAGAAAAAAAAAAAGAGGAAAAAAAACATGTACAAAGGTGACTTCAGAAAGGCATCCCCTTATTTCTCTCTTGACACCATCTGCATTTTGTATTTCTTAGAGCTATTTGAAAGTTTCTTCCCCATTCCTGTGCCCCTGCGACACAACAGCTTATCTCTGCTAAACAGAAAATGATAACGAACAAGAAGACACTAGTATAACTCCAGGGGAGACATCAGCATTTGCTGACATTAAGGATGAAAGGTAAATATTAGAGAAACCAAAAGAATCCCAAACAAAGTCCAACAGGAGATTGAAGAATTTCCCATTGAAGTTCAGAAGCCTTATGAGACAGGACAGATATCTCACTATCCTTCTTAATCGGACGAAGGAAGATGAAGCACCTGAACCTTGTGTTCCTCTCATGATGATGGCTCAAAGGCTGCCTGAGCCCAGGCTACATTTGTCATCTGCAGCTCCCAAGGGAGCGAGAGAGAAGGGAGAAGCAAGGGAACTAAACGAGCAGCCATCTTCAGGACATAATTTCAAGACCCAGCTGGTGAGCCAGCATTTTTAAACAGAGAAAAAGCCTGCTGCGTTCGCTGTCAAGACAGGACAAAGAAACACAATAGAGAACAGGAACAGAAGAACAAGAACAGAAAAATGAAACTCTCCTCCATTTCATCAGCCCCTAGAAACAGAGAGGAAAAGTAATCATTTGGTTCCTTTCTCTGTGTCCCACATGATATTCGTATTTTGTTCAATATACCTGTACCTGTGCACTGTGTTCTCATGTCACAATAAAGAGATGAGGTTACCCAGCAAAGAGTTAAGAGGAAAGCCTTCACATGGATTACAGAAGCAACCCAAACTGCCAGAAACTCACTGCAAAAGAACCAGAATTGATACAACCTCCTGTTTTTATCACAAGTTTACATTACATGCCAACAACAGAGGATTAAACTCCTTTACCGTGAGCTTACAAAGAACATGGAACAAAGGTGCTGAGCATCAGAGTCAACTGCTGTTGCATCAAAGCTCATCATGAGACCAGGCAGCTCCTTCTGCACAGATACACTCAGCTTTGTCTTTCACCTTATCAGTTTTGAATAAAGTTAAGATACAAATTTCACACATTCCCATTTCTAACTATCACTGGGTTAAGGAGGACTCTCCAGAAGTCATCTAGTCCATTCCTCCACCACATGGAGGGATCAGTTCTCCTAAAAGCATGTCTGCTAGAGTTTTTCCAACTTGTTCTTAAACCTTTGCAAAGACTGAAACTGCCTAAGCTCCTCGGGCAATCCACTCCAGCGCTCAGCTATTCTTAATGCAGGAGATCATTTACTAATGTCTCATCTAAATTTCTTTTGCTGCAACTTAAGCTCATAATTTGTCTTTCTTACAGTAGGCAGATTTACAGTTTATGCCTTCTCCCCACAACAAGTTCACCATTTCCAAAATTTACAAGCTGAGGCACCAGTATGACTTGCTCTCTCTCCTCCATTCTCCTTCTGCTCAAAGCACGTTCTTAATCTTGTGTCTCTGCATGTGTATTTCTTTTCTTACCCTGGGAGAACAGGCAGCTAGGATATCACAAGGCTGTTTCAAGAGAAGATGCTCACATCCAAAGGCTGATGCATTCAGGCACACCCAGTTATAAAGTACTCTGTAACAAGAAAAAGAAAAGATTTGTCTTTAGGACGGGAGGCAGAGGGTCTAGTAGTAAGGAAAACCCAACAACTCTGAACTGCAATTTCTTCCACCCCATTATTTAACATTCAAACGGATCTTCAAAAGCAACATCAATGACTGTAGATACACATCATGCGCCACCACTCAAACTTGGCCACATTTTTTCTGACAACCACCATAAGGGTTTGATAAATCTGTGTTCTAGGAAACAAAGTGCTCACTGACTTTGCAGAAAGTTTTGCCAAGCTATAAGCAATACCCAGCACACATCAAAATCAGATGGCTCCTACTCCAAAGCTTTATTCACTGTGACAGAGGACAAATCTTAATGTTGCCACCAGCGACTTTATTTACAGCATCACTGAAACCAACAGAGGCAAGGCTTCTAAGTTGACTTTGAGATGCGAGTGCATGTAATTATGGCATAGACCCAGAGGAGAGAAATCAGGCCTGATGAAAGATTAAGTAACTTTTGTGTTCACAACATAGTCCTTACCTCCTGATCTTCGGTATGTTCTACCCACCAAAAAAGAAATCTCTCCTGAACCCAAGGTGACAACAAGGAAAGAAAGGATTTACATGAGCAGCGTTTGGAAACACAGAGGAGAGCTCTGAATAACAAAAACATTCCAAATTTCATGAGAGAGAACAAGCAACAGGGGAGAGTGGCAATAATACATTTGCCATCGTACTTTTGGAGGCTCTTAGAAAATGAGCTAGATGGTAGCAGGCAGTTTGCTACAGCAGCACCTTTCACCAGTGGATCATCTTTTGCAGCCCATCTCATCTAAATTCCTGTCTCCCCTTAGAGAGGCTGCTGCTAGTCTCAAAGGATCGGGTGGCTTTGTAAGAAATCTGCCTTTTCCGAGAGCTGAAGCCAAGAAATACTCAATTTGATGTGAAAATAAGATGCTTGTTGCGCATCTAAGGATGTGCCAATGCGACTACTCATTGTCTTCTCTCTTACATGTACCATTCATCTGACTTTTTGCTACCATTCATGCCTTTTGCTACTCCACTTTGTCCATTTCCAAGTTTCCACTTGGGATGCTTGTGTTTTTTTTTCCTTTTGCAAGCCTTCTCAGCCACCCTGGGCTTCTGCTTTCCTTGATCATTTCCACTCTTATCAATGTCAAACACTTACATCCGGCCCAACTGTTGTCAGCACAGGAACGTGACACACTCCTATTTAGCACAGGTTTGATAAAAGAAGTGCTGTTTCCAAGACTAAGGAGGAATACCTGCACAATAATGTCCCTGCAGCAGCACACAATAGCTGAGAAGACTGAGCAATAAATCCCTGTTACTGAAGATGAAAAACTCCAAGTAATCTCAAAATATATGCTGACCAAGTAATAGAAGAGTTTAAATGCATGTACATCTTTAAGGGCAAAAGGAGCTCCAAGGACTTCAGGGAGATCATCTGCTGCATCAGACAGGTTAATTCCCAAAACGCTAGTGAGATAAGGGTGTTTAGCAAGGGATGGAACTACGAGGAGCGTGCTTCCACCAAGAAAATACACCCCTTTCTACAGCCGAATTACAACAGCTGTTGAAAACCATGGAGTAGCATTGAATGGCAGCCCAGGACCGGGAGCCAAGAAGACTACCACATGCAACTGAAACTGCCAAGGGATTAAGTTAGGTCAAATGTAATTACACAAACTGGAACCTGGCCAGGGTACTGGCTGGTTTAAGAAAATTAAAAGAGGTGTTCAAAAGTTTCAGAGATGGAGTCCTCCTCCTGTTAATTATTTGGTGAGTCAGTCACTGAAGTCTCAGTACTCTGGGAGGCTGTCTGAAAAAGGGGAAAAAATGAGGCATAAACTTGAAAGGCATTAGAAGCGATTAGCAAAAGCCTTTGTTCTCCATGGCAATCCTTGCTGCACTAGTGCGTGAAAGCCTTTCATGTTCATGCTGAAAAGTGGCCTTAGTTCCTTTGATACTTCTGGGAGGAAGCGTTTAAATTTACAAATATCCCACTGTCAGAAGTTACAGACAACAGTTGAGGAACTTCTGCATATCCCAGCCAGGTCATGCCTGGCTCTAAAGCCAGCTCTCAGGCAGGCAGTGCTCCTGCTGAAGCGAGGAACGCAAGCAAGGATGCATAGAAGCTCACTGAGACCTGGAGTAACATCTACTCTACTTGCTAGTAGTGTACAAAAGCCAGGTCATGTGGAAAAGGAGGTTGCAACCACGTGGGACAGTGGCCTTCTTACCTTCATTCAGTTTTAGGAAGATGGAGAGCATTTTATGGCAGGCAATTGTAAGGAGACCAGAAAGGATGCTTCGTGGTCTGGCAGCTGAGTACCACTTTGAAAGATTAGATCCTGTTTATGCCTCTGCCATAAACCTCCTGAATGATAAGAGGAAGATCACATATATCAAACTTTCTCCAGATATTTATTGCTGTGCCTTTTCTGGCTAACTAAAGACACAGAGAGACCACATCCAGAAGAGACAAGAAGTAGCAGTCATGGATTGAGATTCTCAGTTCAATTTCTGATTGAGACTTGTACTACAGCCATGTACAGTGCTACAAAACATGAAGTGTTCTGAAAAAACAGGCCTTGTAAGTCTCAGTTTTGGCACCTGAAAGTAGTAGATGCCTCTGCTACCTCTGCATCTGAAAGTCATCATTAGAGATACACTCATTACTGTCTTTGAAGCAGTTGGATGTGACAGTAAAAGCAGTATGGAATTGGAGATTAACCTTTTTGGGTAGCTTACTCAGTGAAATTTTCAGATGATACACATTAAATAAACCAATTTTTGACTGATGTGAAAAACAGAAAGATTAAATAACTACCTTCTCAACAAGTGCCATACACCAGGCGTGTTGAGTGACATGGTTTCCTTTCGAAGCGACAGCAGGTGAACACACAACCGAAGGCTCTGCCATATTGATTTCATGCACTTCGGGGTGTTTTTTTCCCCCTTTTCAGAAAACAAGCCAGGAAAAGGCAGACACTTCACAGCACAGATTGGTGCAATTTGTGCTAATGGCCAAAGTGTAGATGCAAGCAGCAGCTCGCTTCTCTTCGTGTGGAACAGTCAACGGGGCAAAGTTCTGGTGGGACAATTGCTACCATGGCGCACCTTGCGTAGCCCAGCAACACCTCCTCCAACACACGGCTTCGTGACAAGCAGGGCAAAAACCAGGAGCACGGGAGAAAATCTGTGATGTCTTGCAAAAGTGTGCAAAAAACAGGGACAAGCAACTGTGGAAAAAGGCTGCAGTCTCTGCTGACCACACGCAAGCTGTTGCTTTTCCAAAGTGTAGTCAAACACTCTTCCAGATAGCAAAACCCCAAGTGCCCTAAATCCCTCATCCCTGGCACTCCTCTGACGAGGCAAGTCACTCCTTTGGAGTCCTCAGGCACCACAGAGACGGCAAGGTTTCTTTTATCAATAGGAGCAAAATAATACTGCTGTTCTTCCCATTCTTCCCAAACACCTTCCAACCAGCCTCCTCTGAAGCAGCTCCACTGCTTTAAGCCAGAACGACCCGCAAAAAAGAGGTTCCAACAGAAGCGGAGACCTAGCGTGGAAAACCAGAGTGAAACTGGTACAAGCCAGAGAAGACTGTAAGCAGCAGTTTTATAATGCTTTTTGAGTTTAAAATATTCAGCAAGGTCAACACAGAGCATGTAGTTATCTCCAGGCCTGTATACGCCCCAGGCTATACGCACCGACAGCAGGATGCTGACGATGCAGCCACCTCGGCCAGGCTGGTCTCTGCAGCAGAGCCACCAGCAGCTCTTGGCCTCAAGCACCCTAATTAGCAAAAGGTGGAGAGGAAACTTAACGACAGTATCATTACCGTGCACAGGGTCACCCCTCATTCCTTCTCCTCGAGTTGAGATGAAAAGCCCATGCATCCCTTTTGCAAGGGGAAGCCCTCACAGTGCTCCCCAATGCACCCCAGCACCAGAGACACATGCACCAATGCGACATACACCACAAATAATAATTGTCTTAGCATGACCACACACACCAGGGCCAGCCCATGCAGCAAAGGCTGGGGACAGCAGGGCAGCCTGAAGGGCTTCATGCTGAAGAGGGACCTGCTACCAAGAGGAGAAGGTGGACGATGTGGCCAGAGTGTGAGGGGGAGGTCTCCCTGCAGTGATTAACTAATATCTATAATGGCCTCTAGTGTCTGAAACAAAGCACAAGGAAATGGCACGGAAAGGACTAATGCCAAGCAGTAACAAAGACAGAGTCAGGGCTGTTGCTCAAATAAGAAATTGCTTTTGCCTAGGTTATTTGTTGTTAAAAATAAAAGTTTCCGCATGCAAGGACATCCTATTTGCTGTATTAAATTAAAGGGATGATTCAAGAGGGAGCAGCTTTCGGTAGGCAGGGGGGGGAAATCAATTTCAGGTTGCTACGGACAACTGGGCTGTCTCCTGTAAAACTAAATCGGATTCAGCTCTACCAACCTGAACGCTAAACATTCCCTGAAATACAAGACACACACGCTCTCCAAATAAATAAATACAATAAAACAGTCTTGTGTCATCTCCTGGCTTTATTTTTGCTGAACTAGGGACGTGCTCAAACCTGCTAATTACTGCAAAACACAGGGCTGAAGTTTTGGCTCAGCTGTGGCTTTCTGACTGCCAGTTCAACGCCGACCGCTGCCTTACAGGGGAAAAGACATTTAATGGTAGGGTGGCATTTGGCAAAATGAACCAGAGCGGTGCCCAGACCCACCTCGCTCTGGGCCCTTTTATGTGCTGTGGGCTTGCAGCAGGACCTAAAACAATGTTCTGCTGATCCAGGCTCCTGCAAAGCTCAGCCAGCAGGGGCCGGAGAAAGCTCAGCCTGGGCCCTTCAAGCCTGTCCTGGCTGATGCTGGATGGAGGCAGTTTAACCTGCCCTCGGTCCTTGAATAGCCTGAACAGAAACAACATTCTCCACCCGAGCAGCTGACCTGTGGTCACAGCAGCCAGGTAGGAACCTCGCATG